TACATTCGTTATGCCATGCACCCGAGCACAACCAACAGCTCTGGGTTGCTTTTTACCTTGCTTGCTTGTTCGTCTGATCTTTCACGCCTCAATGTAGGTTTCATTTGCACGTTTACGCTCACAATGTCAACGAAACAACTAAATCGTCGCCATCACATGTCGCACCATCGCCAGAGGCCATTAAGAACAAGCACAACACGTTTGCCACAGCACACACACACACACACACACACACCACACCACACAAGCCCACGTGAGTGCAAGCAAGCCAAATCAACACAGCGGCCACGGCGGGAATGTGCGGCGATCGTCACATAAGGACACGCGCACAATCCAATGTGCGCATGTGTGGCATGACGGAAACATGGAGGAAGAAGAAGAAGAAGAAGAAGAAGAAGAAGAAGAAGAGGGGAAGGAGGAAGGGTTGGACGACAGTGTCCGATGGGCAGTCGGGGCGTGTGCAACACGCGTGTGTGCCCTGACTTGCCTCAGGCCTTCTCCTCATAGCTGGCAACAGAACAGCGCGAAGCAAGGTGAGGATGTAAGAGTGAGGTGACGCGGGCCATTGTTGTTGATCGATATGAAAATAGTTGAGTATGGGGAGGAACGGCAAGGAAAGTGATTGTGGTTGCTGTGTGAATGTGTAGACAGGCAGGCCGATGAGCAACAAAGACGCACCCCTTCTTAGTCTTCTCCTTGATGAGCTTCTCCATGGCCTTGCGCGCGGCTACAGTGGGGATGACAAGAGGATAGAGGGTGGCACAAGGGTGGCGTCAACGGGATGCACAATGACTTGAAGGCGACCTGATCCGCGCAGTACACACAAGTGCACGTACAACCGCAAGTGCAAGCAAGCACAAATACAGACAGACAGTGACAGACGGACGGACGGACGGACGGACAGACACGCACACACACACACACACACACACACACACACACACACACACACACACACACACACACACACACACACACACACACACACACCTTCGGCGGAGTCGTGGGTCTTTGAGTTCTTGGTGCCGCTCTTTCCAACCTTGCCATAGCGCACATACACCGTCTTGGCATCAAGGCGCACCTCCCAGAACTTGCTGCTCTTGTCATCAGTCAGCTCATAGTAGTGCTTCTCGCCTGCGTGTGAACACAAAGGATGAGCAGGTTACAAGAGTGAGCGGGAGAGAAGAAGAGGAGGGGGATTAATGAGATGTATCAAGTACAATCATTCCACGACTCGTACACAAACACACAGACACACAGACACACACACAGGTACAGGTACACACACACAGACACACAGACACACACACACAAACACACACACACACAGACACACAGGTACACACACAACCACGCACAAACACGCACACACACACACACACACACACACACACACACACACAGAGCAACGCCACGAACCGGTCTCGGCGGTGCCATCAGCATCGCCATCGACAGCGCCGTCGTCATCTGTTGCTGCCTCGTCGGACTTGGCGGCCGCGTCACCGTCAACAACGGCAGCTGCAGGCTCGGTGTCAGACGTGCCATCCTCCGTCGCGGGGCTGCCTTCTTCCTCCGACGCCACCTTGTCCTCCTCGCTCGTCTTCTTCTGCTGTTTTGGCTTGCGTCCGTTGGCCTTCTTGGCAGCAGGCTGCTTCTTCTGTGCCTTTGGCTCCTTTGCAGGCGCTGCGGGGATGTCGTCGGCGTCGGCGCCCGTCGCGCCCGTCACCAGGTCCTTGGTCACGGCGTACCCTTTCTTCTTCTTGTCGCGGATGCTCTTCAGGGCAAATTTCTTGGCCGTCACCTCGGAGTCGTGCTCCTTCGTCTAAGCGACATAGGTATGGGTGAATGGGGAATTGACAGACATGGGTGAGGGTATGTGTGAGCAAATGCATGGGCGAGGGTGTATGTTGGGATGTGCGTGCGTGTGCGTTGACATAATATGCGTTGCGGCGTGTCGTTTTGTGCGTGAGGATCCGAGTGTCCATACGTGCCAATGACACACTTGAGAGTTGAGAGTGCGTGCACCCATCTCCCCCCTCTGTGTCTGTCTGTCTGTGTCTGTCTGTCTGTCTGTCTGTCTGTCTGTCTGTCTGTCTGTCTGTCTGTCTGTCTGTCTGTCTGTCTGTGTCCATCTCCCTCTCTCTCTCAAGCTCACGCTCAGCTCCTCAGAGAGGCGCCGGCACCAGCGCCAGCGCCAGGTACAGCTGCATCTCACCTGGCGCGTGCCCTGCTTGCCCTCCTTGCCATAGCGGACGTAGGTGGTCGTGCCGTTTTGCTTGATCTCCCAGAACTTGGCCTGGTCCTTGCCGTCCTCCTTGAGCTCGAGGTACTTGCCATAGGTGAAGGTCTCCTCAACCTTGGCCTTCTTGGGGCGGTTGGACGAGCGGGTGGCGGGCATCGTTGCAGCAGGCGGCGGTGTTGGCAGTGTTGGCGGTGTTGGCGTGCTCGAGCTTGATTGAGCGCGAGAAAGAGCGAGCGAGCGAGCGGTGATGCGCAAACGAACGAGACGCGGGCGACGGGCAGGCAGCGCGGGTGAGGAAAAAATGGCGTCGCGCTCACGCAAAACAAGCCATGACGGTCCGTCCGTCTGTTTGTTAACAAACAAACCAGGAACACAAGCCGGCAACTCAGTTGGCGCGGGCAATCACCCGCCAGTGAGGTGGCAGTTGGAGTGTGTGTTGAGTGTGCAGTTGCGACACATCTGCCACCACCACTGCAACCACACAAGCAAGCAAGCAAGCCAAGAACAACACGAGTCCTTCGACGACTGAATTCAGTCGAGTCACATGTCTACAGTATGCGACACCACAAATATATTGTGCGCAAGGACTTGGTTGCTCGCTCTGCCGCCGTTTTTTCAACAACGGACATTATGACGAGCGTGTGTGGTGCTGTGGATGAGCAGGCGAGGGCGCTGGTGAAGGTGCTTGCCAGCGCCAGGACGGGCGCGTCCGCACTGCCGCCATTCAACCCAGCAACGTCAGCCACACACCGACGTGCCGGCGAAGGAAGGTGTGTTGTTGTTTAAGTTGTTGTTGTTTAAGTTATTGTTGTTTAAGTTGTTGTTGTTGTTGTTGTTGTTGTTTTTGTTGCTGTTGTTGCTGTTGTTGTTGTTGTTGTTTAAGTTGTTGTTGTTGTTGTTGTTGTTGTTGTTGTTGTTGCTTCATGGGAAGCAACCTTGTCAATCCTTTGTTTGACCTCAACTCACTACCACCATTGCGTTGCACATCCATTTGTGACACCGAAATAGATTGGAGAAACTGTGTCAGCAGCGTGTGAACCTGGCTACCCAGGCCATCTTTGAGCGAGGCCTTCGCGAACAAAGGGATCTCGAGCACAGTCACAGCACAGAGGATGAGTTGTATGACAAAATGGATGAGCTGAACCAAAGCCTCCGACAGGTGGGCGATCATTTGCGTCATTTTGTGTGTGCGTGTGCGTGTGTGTGTGCGTATGTGTGTGTATGAACGCGCGTGTTTTTGTTCGCTGCTCGGGAAAGCTATTGACCATCTGTGCGCAAAATGCAGGCATACGGCCAGCGGCGAAGGGAAGCGGCACTGGTCCGAAGGTGTGTGGTGTGATTTGGTGTGTGTGCGTGTGTGATGTGTGTATGTGTGTGTGTGGTGTGTGCACGTGTGTGTGTGTATCAACCGCATCTTGAACACCTTGTACACGCAATACGCACGTGCACAAAACATAAGCTTATACACGCGCAGTTGATGTGCTTTCACATGCATCTTATCTCTTTCACACCAACTTTGCCCTTGTACACGCCATTGCTGTTGCCCGGTTGTTGCGTGATGGCAGCATTCACGACAGTGCTGTTGTGACAGAAGCAATGTACAGCGAAGCTAGCGAAACCACAACAGAGGTGTGTGCTCGTGCATGCTCATGTGCACGCCGCCTTGTCATACTCTTGGTATTGCACTCGCACAACCTCAACCTCACTGCTTGCATCGTGTGGACTCACGGTTCGATGCATCTTGTCGTATGTTGGGCGGGGGCGAAGCTTCGAGGCAAGATCCAGCAACGGGATGAGCTGTGCTCTGCTTGTCTTCGTCTCTCCGACGTGAGCGCACGTGACATGATCATGCGGCTTGTGCATGCGTGTCGTGTGTGTATGTGTGTATGTGTGTGTGTGTGTGTGTGTGTGCAAATGTGTGTGTGTGTGTGTGTCATTTGTGTGAGGTGTGTGCACGTAAATGTGTGTGCGTGTCATTTGTGTGAGGTGTGTGCGTGTAAACGTGTGCGTGTCATTTGTGTGAGGTGTGTGAGGTGTGTGCGTGTGTGTGTCATATGCACTTGCGTTGGCGTGGTTGAGGTTTGCAGCCTCCATCGTCCATCACTCTCACCCACAGCCAACGTCGATGCAATGTCCACCACCAGAGATATCGCGACCTCACGCAGGAGCTGGAGATGATCAACGCCGATATTCGAGAGTACGGCACGCAGAACACACGTGTTGTGACTGCCATCGTCTGCTCCTGTACATAACACTCTCCACACTCACACTTTATGCACAGTCGCACACACACGCACACGCGCACGCGCACACTCACACGTACCTCCCCGGCTCATATGCTTGCTGGTTTGTATTGCGCCTTTTGCGTGTGGAATGCCGTGTCACGCCCACAGCACCATGCTCAGGAATCGGCAGATTTACAGCGATATTCAAGACCTTGAGCAACAGCTGGAAGCAGGAACCCAGGAGGTGCGTTTGTGTGTGTGTGTGTGTGTGTGTGTGTGTGTGTGTGTGTGTGTGTGTGTGTGTGTGTGTGTGTGTGTGTGTGCTTTGTCGTGTTGCTGTACGCGTGTGAGCGCATGCTGTGCACAGGTGCTCATGTGCGAGCAACACCACCACAACAAAACAACACAATAGCCGCCGAGCCAAGCACTTGATAATGAGCGGCAGAAGTTGGAGAACGAGTATGTGAAAAACGCCATCCTTCGCAACACCTTGCAGGTCAGCCTCTGCGCACGCGCTTGTGTGTATGTGTGTG